CGAGTGCGGCCGAGTGATACCGAATGGTCTTGCACAACAAGATGGCTACCGCTTATATTGACATATGTAGTTAAGGTTTGGTGTTATTTGCCGGGTGAGCCGTGGCATGGTGGGTTGATATCGAATCTTTCCTATGAGCCTAAAGCATTGGATCTATCCTCGTTGGGGCGGCCTCGGTCAAACCGCGGGGATACCATCATGCTAACTCGATACTCACCTTTTTGTATTTTTTTTTTGGGGGGTGGGGGGGGCCCGTTCCATTTTATTTTCTGTACATGAAAGAAGTCAGAAAAATATAAATCTAATAATTACTTCTATAAATAATACGAAGTTTTCTAAATTCGTTCTAAAATAGGAGAGTTGTGTAGCTCCTATCGGTATATAGTTTAGCCAGTCACATGCCCGACTGACCACATCCTGGTAAAAGCCACCTCGATAACGATCAATCCGACGCGAGTATTTTCCTTTTTGAATTTCCTCCTATTCTAAGCACTGTTTCCTTATTTAGTTTCTGACCCTTGTATTCACTGTATCAATGTAGCACTGTATCATGTATCCATGCTGTTGGGATAATGAATCAGAGAGGGTGTGACTCGCTGATCATGGCACTGACTATCAATAAATATTATTTATCAATGACAACTAACTTTGATTAGATATCCATATACATGAATTTGAGGGTATGGATGCAGTCGTTATAGTTTCTATGTATAGTAGTGCAATGAACACCCTCTACTACATGTAACTAGTTATTGCACTACAGAAACATTGCCACCGCAGTACCATAAATAATTATTTATTGCTTAATTGATCAATGTATTCCACATTGGGTACGACGCAACACTAATACAGCCAACCTTGAAACGAGCAGCGGTTCCCTGCTGTTAAGAGATTTGTGGCAACGTTTTGGTGAAGGACAACCCGTGCCGCTCATTTATTTCGAACATGTGTCTATGCATACCTGATAAATATTGGAATATTGTTATTTTGTTATTCATCCAGATAACCTATATATCAAACATTACTGTTTGACAAGGTGTTTCAAATAATATACAAAAAAGGCCTGTGCATAAATGAAGAAAATTAACGTCTTCACCCAAAATGTCACTCTAATTATTTTGCTTATGAAGCAAGTCTTTGGAAATCCCATCGATATATCTGTTCGAGTAGTCACAACATTTTGCTGATCACTAAATTTTGTTAACTTTCAACAGGTTAACATAAGCCACAAATCGTCGTCAGCCACCTTCAAGGTCAGTCCAATAAGTGTAAAAATGAGATTTTGTTTCATTATTTACTTTAAGGTATGTCTCAATTAAAATAGAATGAGAAGGTATGTAAAAGAGGATATCGTGCTTATGTAATTAACGGCAATACATTCAGTAGCTACACCCTCCTAATTATCAGAACTTACGACTTCACGACAGTTAAAGGTAACTTGAAAATTTATAAAAAGGTGAGTGTCCATCTGTTAAAGTCGATTACTTCCGAGCATTTCCGAGTGGTCTTTCACAACAAGATGGCTGACAAGCCTATAGTTATTAAGCTTAGTTTTGTGTAAGTCAATCGGGTGAGCCGTAGCATGGTGGGTAGATACAAGTATCTTTCCTTTGAGCCAGAAGCATATGATCTATCCTCGTCGGGGCGGCTTCGGTCGAACCGCGGGGATGCTACCATGTCAACTCGACACTCACCTTTTTATAAATTTTCAAGTTAATTTTAACTGTCGTAAAGTCGTATGCTGAAGTTCTAATAAGGAGGGTGTAGCTATTGAACGTATTGCCGTTAATAACATAAGATCGATATACTTTTTCACATACCTTCTCATTCTGTTTTAATGAGATATACGTTACAGTAAATATTGAAACAAAAATGATTTTTATACTGAATTATTGGACTGACCTTGAAGGTGGCTTATGTTTGACCTGTTGTAAGTTAACGCAATTTAATGGTTAAGGAAACGCTGAGACTACTCGAACTGATATATCATCGGGGTTTCCAACAACATCATCACTTGTGGAATTCTTCGATTAACACAACGTGTTTCATATGCAGAATCATAAGTGACGTTTTGGGTGAAAACGTTAATGTTCTTACTTTATCTACAATTTTTGTATATTATTTGAAACACCATGCCAAAAAGTAATGTTTGCTACATAAGGTATCTTGATGAATGACAAAATAAACATATTCCAATATTTATCAGGAATGCATAGGCACATGTTTGACACATATGAGCGGCACGGGTTGTCCTTTGCCACGTGTTGCCACATATCTCTTAACAGCAAGGATTTATTAGTGGGGATGTAGATTCATCCACAACTTCATCTTTCAACATTTTCGTGTAAATAGCATAACGGCTAAACACACTGGTAGAAATAATCGTTGCTAAACAGTTAGTAATTCAGTTTCAGCACGGACGAGGAATATCCTGACGGTGCAACGGTGGTGGTGGTACTATCAATGATCGATCGGATTGCTACGGAAGCTGTCGAGTGCGGCCGAGTGATACCGAATGGTCTTGCACAACAAGATGGCTACCGCTTATATTGACATATGTAGTTAAGGTTTGGTGTTATTTGCCGGGTGAGCCGTGGCATGGTGGGTTGATATCGAATCTTTCCTATGAGCCTAAAGCATTGGATCTATCCTCGTTGGGGCGGCCTCGGTCAAACCGCGGGGATACCATCATGCTAACTCGATACTCACCTTTTTGTATTTTTTTGACAATTTTATTATATGTTCTGTACATGAAAGAAGACATAAAAAAACCATTAATGATGTAAATATCATGAAGTTCTTCAACTTTCGTTCTAAAATAGAACAGAAATGTAGCTAGTATTTGTACATAGTTTTCTCAATAACATGTCCGACTTACCACAGCCTGGTAAAACCAACACTAAAACATATATCCCTCAATTAACGATACGTCCGATGCGAGTCCGATTGAGCGATTATCATAATATAGTTCCATTTATTAGTGTAACAATAACGCTCTCTCACTCTGTCTTTTTGTTGTCAAATAACATGTTTAACAAACCCCGAGAACTGATAAAATTGACATTTTGCACTCGTGCCTGCGCCAGATATCCTCCATGTACTTTGAATGTAAATTGTGTGAGTGGCGGTAGTACCGTTAGGGCAGGACATACTTACCATTGTCATGGAAACCTGGTGACATCACTAACTTTCAGTGATCCGTTCATATATTTTCGCTACTATTTTCCATTTTACGCCCAATGGAATCTGTTCCAGTGGATAATCGAGACTGGTTATCCTGTGGTGTTGAAGTTTTATGTTGCAGTTTGTTCAAGAGGGCAGACCACATTTGTTTTGTAATAGAACAACGAGCAGCGATTCAAGGCACGATCGGACAGGCATCAGACATGCCAAGAACAGAGAGACCCAGGGTAACTACGCCCAATGAAGACCTGTACTTGTGTACTCTGCATCTCCGTATCGATTACTGACAGTAACGTCATCAGCGACGAATGCACATGGTTAGTCGACAGACAGTAACTAGGCGACTCAGGCCTCAATGAATTAGGGCCCCCGAACCTTACAGGGAACCGTTATTGGCAGCGCAAGGTCGTCGTCAGGGATTGAGGTGGGCCCATACTGTAGGTCGTTGGCAGCGACGTGACTGTCAGAGCTGATGAAAGACCGCGTGTTTACCGCCGAAGTCGGCATTTTGCGTTCAGGAGTGAGTGAGTGAGTTTTGTTTAACGCCGCTTTTAACACTATTCCAGTTATATCACGGCGTGTCAGCTTAATGTGGGAGGAAAGCCCGAAGTGATGCAGGTCTCACACGTTTACCTCTTCGGTGAAACCCACGAGCAGGGGTATGGTGCTGACAAACCTAGAAACATAATTGCGGCGAACCGGGATTCGAACCCACAATCATAGGTTTCTGGCGTGCCGAAGGGACGCAACTCTGCACAGCGAATCGCGGCGCCTTAGACGATCGCGACTTGGCCACCCGTGCCCCCTTGCGTTCAGGAGGTCGTGCCGTATGGTTGAAGGCGTCTCCTGATGTGGGGAGGCTTCAGTCATATTTTCGATTTTTTTTTAATAAACTGAAGTAATATGCTTCTAAAATATCCGAAATATGAAAATATGTCCTACTATATGGGTTTATTATTATAATAATCTGGCGGGCAAAAGAAATTACACGCACGTGCTTGATTGGTGGTTACAACTGAATTAAACAATAAATGGTAAGTAATATGTGGATGTTCAAGTGAATGCTTTCTTTTCCCCGTTAGTTTGGAAGCCTGTTGTTTCAGTTAATATTAACAAATTGTGAAAAGTGAAAACAATGAAGGTGAGTGTTGATCTGGCATTCGTTATAGCATTACAAATTTTGAAGGAGGTCTGTAATGTCGTGCTGTCTATGTAAAGCTCTCTACAATACTAAACCGCAAGACAAATGTATCTAGACACTCCAAAAAAACCCACATGTCGTCCTGGCCGTGTAAAGCAACGGCAACAGTTTTAAAACATTAAATATCACATTACAAAATATTTATTCACAAGTCGTCCTCTTCCATCGTGAATAAACATTTCATTATTGAAAGTTAATACAGTCTCTATACTAAGAGCACGCAACACTATATCAACCACAAAAAAACCCGGGGTACTATTTATCACACAGTAGAGTACATTCTTCCCGCCCTCGTGTCAACATCATAGTCGAAACTACTAGGACAGGTAATTTTCAGGGGTGCACGAGGGCGCAAACCTGTTTTGTTCTAAGTCAATGTCACACTACATCTGTCACTTATATACCTGCAGGAAGTCGGACGCGTGGCGATTCTAAATTGCCATGTAGTCCTTGGTTGGAACCTCGGAACAGAATTCATCGTCGTCGTCGAATTGTCGTCTAATGAGGTTTTTTAAAATGGAGTGTCACCTTCTGCAGGGAGACGTAGTACGCCTATCAGAGCCAGATACTGGAGAACTGACGTGCCCTGATTAAATATACCTCTACATTCCATACTGAGGACACTGTTGACAGAAGGACATCAGACCATTCATAGTGACACGTTTTTACCAGGCCCATGTCAGCTGGTTTACCGCCCTGCCGCATTAGATCACTGTCAGTCGGGAAAACGGATGGTATTCTCTGATATTGTCATGAAGACCTGCAATACCAAGGCCCGCATTTACAGCGTGTTGGTGTTTTGCTGTGGATTATGTGTATTATACTACTGGAACTGGCAGTACTACAACCAACCAGTGTATGTATAATTATATTTTCCATGATTCGTGAATCGCTAGGTTGTGGGAACGTTTTAAAGGATATGACATTAGGAACATGGCATGTGCACAACACTCTCAGGTAGTGATGTATGGAATCATGTTCATGATACAGCCGGAATCGTACAATCGACTCTGCTTCGGGCAGGTATTTTTTATTACCATGGGAAGGGGTTTGTCGTTTATATTTACAAAGTACTTTCTCCTTGGGGATACCATAAATCCAAAATGAACTGTAAAGAACGCTGACGTGCAACATGTAAGTGGCGCTCATGGGTTGACTGCTAGCTATTATTTGACTTATTAACAACTGCTTTATTTACTGTAAAGGCTTACAACCTCGCTTGACAACGGATCTAAACCTTAACGTCGCCTTCACAGTAAATAAAGAGACCCGTGAAGATCCGGGATAGAAAATGTCTTCAGCAACCTATGCTTGCCGCGAAAGGCGACTATGCTTGTCGTTAGGGGCGACTAAACGGGTGGTCAGGCTCGCTGACTTGGTTGATGCATGTCATCGTATCCCAATTGTGTGGATCCATGTTCATGATGTCAATCACTGGATTGTCTGGTTCAGACTCGATTATTTACAGACCGCCATCATATAGCTGGGAGGTTGCTGAATGCGGCGTAAAACAACAAACAAACAGTATATAAAGAAGATGATATCCATAAATTGTGTCTACTTTGACATCCGTCAACTTCTGAGTTATGCCTTTCAAACAATTCAATATACATATTGCCTGATTATTGACATATCTCCCAATACGTCCCCATGCCAAAACACCTACAGCCCAGTACCTCTATACTTGGTTAAAACAATAAACGGATTTCACCTTCTTAAAATGGAACAGTCCCAAAGACTAATTAATCCATGAGAGTAAAGTATGAACCAAGTTAAGATAAACTGGATTAACATTTGGAAAGATTGACTGAAACTGAATAACAGATTATATGAATTAACTAAAGTTTGGTTTGTTTAAACATATTATATTTCTTAAGAAACCTGAATTGGTGAACAAGCAGGTTTGCTTATTTTAACACTATTCCGGGAAATACAGAATTGGTTTAATACCGAGTAAAGGTTGAAGCATGAATGTACCTAAAATATTTGAATAAACAAATTTCAACCAATTGTATTAAGAGTAGGTTTGCTGTGGTATATAAGCGTTGTCAAAAATGACTGCATATCAACATGGCTGGTCTCCAGAATGTTGAGTTTATTGTTTTCACAGAAAGGAAGCGCACAAGTTTTGTTTAATGGCTATCGTCACACCAAGAATGTAGAGAGACAGACTTGTATTCACTGGAAGTGTGTGAAAACCACCTGTAAAGGGAAAGTGACCATAATTGGTAATATCCTTAGGAATTCTACATTTTTAAGTCATAAAGAAGCTAGAACATGCAGATCGGGCCAATATTTCGCAGATCGACTCTGGTGCTGACCTCAGGAGTAGAAAAGGAGTCTCCCGAGAGGTAGAGAATCGCTTGTGCTGCTCAAAGGTAAATTTGGCCTAGGGATTAAAACACCCATCCAATGCTTGGTTGCTGTTGGTCATCTTTTGAAACCTGGCTTGTGACTTGTTGTGATTATTATCTGACTGATTAGTTCTAAACTAATTTGATTATTGTGATTATCATCTGACTGATCAGTAAAATGAAATGTATATAAATATTCTTGGGGTTATGCCATTAAAAGGACAAAGGTAACAGGCAGGCGATTAGGTGTGCATTCAACTGTGAACGTTGTTGTCATAAGCTGAAGGTGTATGGCACGTTGGCGTTTTGGGAGGACACCACTCTAACATGCATGTATACCACTCCGCAATCCTCATCTGACCACCCCACTTCCCCACCCTGTGAGCAAGCGTTATCTAACCATCCCACTCCCACACCTTGTCAGTAAGAGTTTGAGGATTTGCCTTTGACGGGCCAAAGTTTTATTGTCTAATTACTTCATTATCGACAACTATACCTACATATCATTGATACAACAGACCCACATGACATAATGATAAATGAACAATCACAAACAAAAAACATGCACCATAATTAAGTGATTGCGAATGAATCGCTTGAAAACCAGAAATACGAGCTGTGTGTAAGCGTCGATGAGCTAGGTAACATGTAAAAGAGCAATCGGTAAATGAAATAGGATTTGAAACGTATCAAATACTTCTAGCTATCGTGATACAAATTTCCATCTGTCGGCATAACGTTTACATTGATAGGATAGTACTATATCTTAGTAAATACCACTTTATTATGTCACTGTTCATCGTATTGAAAGCAGACACGTTGGTTAAAGTGGACCTCTTCTTTCCATACTCTCAACAGTCTCACAAGTGTTGGGTCCGACTTGGCCCGGGCTGTCAAAATCAACTTAAACCTCACAGATGTATCATTAAATGCATTTCATCTATATACTGTGATATATCAAGTGCCAACTTTCGTAAAATAATATATGACACGAAAATAAACTATTCTTTTTCTTTAATTACACATGTCAAGTGGGAGCCTGCTCCTGCTGACCGTCTCCCAATCGGAAGCCTCCCTCCACACCCTGTTGTTAGCCTTGCTCCAAGGCTGTACTGAATGATAAGTCTGAAAACTCTGCATTGCGATATATTAGTCCTTTCTAAGACTCAGCGAATGTGTCATAGTCGAATGAATGTGAACTACGTGATGAATGTGTTTTAAACTTACATATATTTTCTTAATCAATTCTTAGCAATAACGATTATTTAACATACAGATTTCTTTCTTGTTAACTCGAACCATAATATCACAATTAAATATATGCAACAATTCTGTGTTCTCTACCAGATAAACCGATTTTCTGTTAAGTCCTGTATCAATTTTATTATTTTTGTTAACTGTAATTCGTCAATGCCTATCCTCTCTGTTTTGTCTGGACAACCCAACGCCTATTGTAGTGAATCCCATATGCTGTATGTACGATTATTCTTTCTACGGTTATGAGTACATTATATGTGTACATGTATGTGGACGACCGCATACATTCGTGTGAAAAACAGCAAATACACTCCAAGGGACATTTGAGCCTTCATGCGTGTTTGAAATTACACACATTTCAAGTGTGAAGAAAAATACAGCTTAAAACAATGTATAACTAAATTGAATGATGATCAACATTTTTAATGTCATGGAATAATTGTGATCGCATCCATTGTCAGTTTGTCAATATGCATTGTGGTATATCGGCGTCGAATCCGGGTTGGAATTGGTACCTAGCAACCTTAACTCATGGATCGGATTTTTGGAGTGAATCGTTGCTCTCAGTATCAACCATTGGAATGTATGATCTGGACTCGATTATTTACTGACCGCCGTCTTATAACTGGAATATTGCTGAGTGCGACGTTAAATAGCAAACACTCATACACTATTTCAAACTTGGGCGCTATAGCCATTTCATCTAGATGCCATATACATATGGAGGAGGCAGGGTTTTGTTTTATTGCTGTCCCACTACTTATGACAGATTGCTCCCCCAACAAATCATAAACTGATCAAGGGAAGCATAAATCCTCATAAATCCTGGCCCATGAAGATCCGGGGTAGAATAGGTCATCAGCAACCCTTGCCGTAAAATGCGACTATGCTTGTCGTTAGGGGCGACTAACGGGATCGGGTGGCTTGGTTGATGCATGTCATCAATCCCAATTGTGTAGATCGATGTTCATGGTCAAGACTCGATTATTTACAGACCGCCGTCATATAGCTGGAATATTGCTGAATGCGGCGTTAAACAACAACAACAACAACAACAACAACAACAACAATCAATCAATCAATCAATCAATCAATCAATCAATCAATCAATCAATCAATCAATCAATCAATCAATCAATCAATCAATCAATCAATCAATCAATCAATCAATCAATCATCCTACCCGCAGATGGGACAGCGGCATAGCTGTATGTTGACAATACGCCAACAAGGCACTAGTAGCTACAGTGACGTGTCCCGGATCTATCCACAGTGTATTTAATCAGAGAATCAATATTAACTCTTGAACCAAGGATGTAATCAGGCAAACACTAGATGCACCCCCGTCAATAGTTCTATTGGTAGTTCATTGCCATTCTCCAAATAAACAGTTGTGGACCCTCGGACGAATTTGTGTTGTCAACGCTTAGATCACCAAACTGTAAGTGTGATATATGTCGTTCAAACCAGCTCACTCAATCTGTTTCGAACATTCAGCAGAAAATATATATTAACCAGCTGTGAGTTGACATCAGATTTTTACAAGCAGTCGATTAAGGAGGCTAAAGGACCTCTCACTGATGAGGTTCTTGTTTACTTAATATTTTGTATATACATTTATATATTCAGTCTACATGTTTCAGTGAATTAAATACAAATTTGCTTTTGAATATAAAACATGGATAGACCTACCAGGAGTGGTAGATATAATACGTGTCTATACATGTAAACATAGTTGATGATACATATGTGAGGTCTAAGACCATAAAATTTAAAATTTATGGTCTCTGGTGAGGTTTAAGTTGATTTTAACAGCCCGGGACAAGTCGAACAGAAGCCTTCTGATAGAGACTATGTTGAGAATGTAGAGGGAGCCCCTTAATGCCGAGCGCCAGACAGGGTAACAACAAGTACCTTCTTTTAACGGCTACTGACATAAAACCTTTCATATGTGTTTTGAATTGATTTCAGAGAACAAACGAACAGGAGCAGTTTAAAGACGGGACTTCTATATTTGAAAGAGGAGGTTTTATGTTCAGGGTCAATTCACAACAGTTCGACTGCTGCAGACGCAAAGATGTCCTATATCTACCCCATACATAATACAACTTATATCTTGGGTGATCTGATCCATGTGCGAATTGATCTGTTTGATGGTTCTGGTAATCGGAAGTTATCTGAAGGCGATGTTTTGAGGGTGTGGATGGAGGACAAGAAGACTTCAGCTTCCGTTTCCGGTGTTGCGTCCGATCATAATAACGGAAGCTACTCTGTCGCTTTTAGAGCTGTGTGGTCAGGAAAAGCCACCATCAAAGCATTCCTTGCCACAAGAAGGGAGGAGATAGTTCTCCTGTATAAACTGTACCAAAAATATTCAAGTCTCTGGTCGATACATGCTGTATTCAAGGGGAAGAATATAACAGAGAGACCAAGATGTTTTACGAGACCGAACACTCGTGCACAGACACATTGGTGCAACTTGACTCAAGAAAATGATGGATTTCCCTGGTACTGCATGAAATCAAAGAACACCTTGACGAATTGTGACATGTGGATCGAGACGTTCTCTGCAACAAACATCCACTACAAACTTAATAATAGCACTGAAAACACAATATTAAGTTGGTATGTATAACTTCTTCATCTTTTTTCTACATTTAAAGATTCACCATTTTTAGTTGGGGGCCCTTCGTCGGGACAGAAATTTCAGAAATGGTCCTTGATCTCTCATCACTATATCCGTGCTCGGGACCATTAAAGGTGATTAACTTGTATGTCCTGAATGGGGTTCTCCTCCCAAGCTAGGATGACATGATATATTTAGACTATTGAACGAGTTCTCGGTATATACGAGGCACTGGTGCCCTAGTCGTCAATTCGCTGTGCAGAGTTGCGTCCCTTGGGCACGCCAGAAACCTCTGGTCGTGGGTTCGCATCCCGGTTCTCCCCGATAATGTTTCTAGGTTTGTCAGCATTCCGGCTTCACCTCGGGTTTGGACATTCGTAAAAGGGTGGTGTTGTATTTTGTAGCAACGTTAAATGCAAATTTATATGTAAAAAACTAACAGATAGAAACCGGTTGTAAATCCGATATTGCATGAAAATTGATATTTGCCCAAGAGCGGCGCTTTTAATCTTCCCTTGTACACGCATTGAAAGGTGTTCCTGCTTTTGTTTGTGCCAGCATGTCAAAAGAAGCGATCAACTGCATATAAGAATTACAGCAGTGTTCAATTGATAACAGACCTGTGAAGATCCGGGGTAGAATAGGTCTTCAGCAACCCATGCTTGTCGTGAAAGGCGAGTAACGGGATCGGGTGGTGAGGCTCGCTGACTTGGTTTATACATGTCATCGGTCCCAACCAACCAACCAACCAACCAACCAACCAACAAACAAAATTTAATATATTTACCGTCGTTATGGCAACGGACATTTTGCCTATCTCTATTTGAATTTACAAATCTCTGCGCTTCCAAGCTCCTTTCAGCGGCACGGAGTCACATAATTGACAGTTGATTTACGCAAGGCATAGAGCGTAAACATTATGCAAATTGTCTTTTGGCAATATATAGACAAACAAACGCTTCGAATTACTATCGATAACTTAGAATTATTTCACATGTTTGATATTCTTCATGTTGTTATGGAAATGGTTATGATGAATTAGATAAATTGTCATGTTTGTATATATTTATTTCGTCAAGGTCTGCAACAAATGCAACGCCAGACATCTTTAGGAGGACTGTGCCGGTGGTCATAAAAGATTGTAAGTGTGGAAAGCGTCTCGTTCAGTATGAAACCATGTGTATACAAGCGTAAGAACAAAGTGTGTATCGAAAAGGAACATAATATTATATCAGTTGTAACGTTCATTCATTACTGGACATATATGATACCTGACCAGTGAAGTTCCCGGGAGAGAATTAGGTCTTCAGCAACCCATGCTTTCTGTAAGAAGCGACTAACGGGATCGGGTGGTCAGGCTCGCTGACTTGGTTGATGCATATCATCGTACTCCAGTTGCGTTGATCGATGCTCATGATATCAATCACTGGATTGTCTGGTTCAGACTCGATTATTTCTAGACCGCCGTCACAGGGATGATTGCTGATGAATGTAATCTGGCCCAAAAGTAATTTAAGTTAAGGAAAACCTTAAATATTACAGTGAACGTTTACATGACGGACATATTGATTTGCAAGTTTTGGGCTTTCGACCGTTGCTTGATAAGATCTAAACCTTTCGAAGACGGAATTGCGTAATTGTGAAATCTTTTGCTGTGGACATTACATGATGTCATAGAAACATATCATCTTACACAAGAGCAAATTGTTTCGCGTGTGACAAGTCAGTTTAATTAGCAGGGGTCTGTGACCTTTGGAAACTGGACACATTTGAGTTTAAACAGATTGTTGTTTTGGGCGAGGTGAGATGAAATTGGGTTTAACGTCGAGTCATAGATTATTGCACATATATAGCGACGTGCGTGCACGTATTTATGTGTGGCTGCTTGTACTCGTCCGAAGTGATGATTTATAGGGCTAGCGCACGGAGATACCATGCTGCAGCTTAACATTAATACCCCACTCAGACACAGTATACTGACTCCTAGACGACCAGCCCTTGTTTTAGCCCCTTAATGTCGAGCGCCAAGCAGGGTGACAACAAGTACCAACTTTTAACGTCTTTTGGTATGATGCGGTTGGGGATCGAACCCCGACCTTCCGCTTTTCGAGCAAACGCTCTACCACCAGACCATCCTAATCATTGACTAAGAACGAATATACCAAGAACACATATAGTTTACACATATCGACGATATGTTTGACATCAGAGAGGTCAGGTTTTAACTGTATACTGACTCCGGACCGACCAGTCCTTGTTTTAGCCCCCTAATGCCGGGCGCCAAGCAGGGCAACTACAAGTCCTACAACTACGGGCCATCCGCTCTCCGGGCGGACCGCTCCATCCATAGTCCACAGATTTCATAATTATGTAATTCCTTCAACTCTCAACATGAGTGAGTTGGGTTTAACGCCGCTTTTAACAATATTCCAGTTATATCACGGCGTGTCAGCTTAATGTGGGAGGAAAGCCCGAAGTTATGCAGGTCTCAGACGTTTACCACTTCGGTGAAACCCACGAGCACGGGTATGGTGCTGTCAAACCTACAAAAATAATGGGGATGAACTGGGATTAGAACCCACAATCATAGGTTTCTGGCGTGCCCTAGGGACGCAACTCTGCACAGCGAATCGCGGCGCCTTAGACGACTGGGCCACCTGTCAAGGCGGGGGACACCTGAAATGGGCTTCTCACATTGTACCCAAGTGGGAAATCGAACCCGGGCCTTCGGCGTGACGAGCTACCACACCGACCCAAAAACAATCATTACCAGTAGAGATCCTAAATCCGTTTTAATATATTAACATATTGTTCACATTTCCTTTGCATCTTGTATTGTCAAAATTTAAAAATTAAGCATCTAAAATAAAAAAAAATAAAAAATCTGATTACATGATTAAATTGTCATTCATGTGAATACATATTTCATTTCGATTGCTTAGAGTTATGTTCCTTTACTAAACTTTTAATTGGGCCAAAACGTCCGACATTCACTATCTAAACTTTGAAATATAAACTTTAACCATGTTAGTTTCCATAACATCATCCTGGTCCCGACAACATGATGTAAGATTTGATTTGATTGTCACAATGTTTCTGTTTCAGCTAAACGTACGTCAAGACTTACATCAACCCATATTGCCTGTAACAGACTCGCACCACATCTTACATGGCAAAGAAAAGCTCTGAATGGCTTCTTTTACGATAACAAGTGGAGCTCGCTTCTGTGTAATGACACGCTGCCTCGAACCGTTGATGCGTACAGACATTGCTTGAAAGGAAGGACGCTCTGGCTCCATGGAGACTCAACAAGTATGCAGTTCCATAGACGTCTTCGCTCCATCTTGAACTTAACGTCTCATGCAGGTGGACATACGCCTGTTACGGATACAGATTCAAAACATAATTTTTCGCTTTCCTGGCATGCTCACGAATTACCATTCTATCATGGAGCTCGGCACTACCCGCGGTCAACAAATCAGGCACAGCACATCATGATGGACCATCTCCCGAACACAACCAAGGACATCGTTGTATTATATATGTACGTTCATTTCACGCTTGTCCATCCGGATGTGTTTAGGCGACATGTTCGAAGACTTGTTCCATCTGCAAAGAACCTCTTGGCACGCGCTCCAAATGTTACAATTGCAGTTCGTGGCCCACATGCATACTTCAGGGCGAGGAGAGGTATGCTGTCTTACTGGGGTATTCTTTATGCTGATATTTGGCATCAGGAATTCGCTTCGCTTTGGGACAAAATTATTTATTTAGATTTCTGGGATTTGTCAATGGCTAAACCATCTAAAGATTTTCACCCACACGTGAACACAGTGAAACAAATGGTACACAATATGATGTCATTGTTGTGCTTTAGGACGTGATGGACTTGTCAATGCCGACTGTCGTCATTGTTTTCAACTAAACAGTATTCTGGACATATCAGCAATATGATTGACATAAATAATCGATGGGTATATTTAGAAATGGCGTTATGGGCCTAAAACGTAGTGAAGCAACGAGGATATATCTAAAATGTGAATCCTCGTTAGTCTGGAACCCCTTTCGTTCGAAAACCCCTTTATTCCGGAAACCCCTTTAGACTGGAAACCCCATTAGTCCGGAAACCCCGTTAGTCTGGGAACTCCTGTAGTCCTGACACCCTGTTAGTCTGGAAACCCTTTAGTCTGGAAACCCCTTAAGTCTGGAAACCCCATTAGTCCGGTCTCCTCATTAGTCTGGAAATCCCATTAGTCTGGAAACACAGTAGGTTTATCTCATACATGTATGTGCCACCATTGTGATCTCAATACTCCTCAATAGCCTTGATACCTCGCTTCATAACGACGGCTGCGTGTGTATCAGTATGTATACAATTCCTGTTATTGCCATACGAATTTGGTATATACTAATTTTCTTCAACAGCACATCTTAAGGCTTACATTTTATTTATTTAACATGGTACATAAAAACAAGACCGAGTTACATTTTCACTGCTATTATAATTATAATGTAGATAGAGTTTGCAAAATGATTTCAGATCGTTCACAAAAAACAGTCCATGTTTGACCACTTATCTTTTTGTATCTGTATCCAAATGTATGCAAAAGTTGCCATATCTTGCAAATTGTAATAATTAAATCATGCTCAGTTTCAAGGTATTTCTTCAATAATCTTATTGACTTGTACATATTTTCTGAATGTAGTTTAATAAATGCACGTCTGAGTTGATTATTCTGAAAACTGTCTTATTTTATTTATGTTCCCCACCCGCTTCGATTGCTTGCTAGGGTCCCGTCGATGGACAAATTTTCATCTTGTTAGTAGACATACCAAGAGATTTAGATGCCCGTTTCAAGTATTTATTAATGGCACAAACGGATTTTCCTCTTTCTGCTCACATTGAAAGAAATCATACACCTTACAAATCAACTGTTTCACATCAGTTGAGCGGCACGCCTTGTCAGTTAACAACGACGTATACAATCTAGCACGTGAACTACGTGTTCGCGATGTTCCTCCCTCCGTTGTGAGTTCCTCCGTTCAAGATGTCACAGAAACATGATAGTTTTTTTAAACAATATTTTCCAGTGATGGGGAAAAAGTAACAAACAGCAGGTCCTGTTGGATACAGGGTACACATTGCCATGTACTGGATTGACTATAGACTATTCCCGACATGGAGTAATTTTGCAATTCATCGTTCTCATTTGGAGCTAAAAAGACTGAAGTTGTTAAACATATTCTATCTATTTGCCTTTACAGTCATTGTTGATCCGGGGTAGAATAGGTCTTCAGCAACCTATGCTTGCCGTGAAAGGCGACCATGCTTGTCGTAAGAGGCGACTAACAGGATCGGGTGGTCAGGCTCGCTGACTTGGTTGATGCATGTCATCGTATCCCAATTGGGTGGATACCAACAATCTCTCTCAAATTGAAAGAAAGGTTATTTAATAAGTAGTTTAGTCCATAACTACATACAATTTCAATTACAAATTGAAAAAAAGGTGAGTGTCGAGTTGACATGGTAGAATCCCTGCGGTTTGGCCGAAGCCGCCCCAACGAGGATAGATCATATGCTTCTGTCTCACACGATAGATAGTTCGTCTCTTAGACCTGTATCTAACCACCATGCTACGGCTCACCCGATACACTTACACAAAGCTAAGCTATATAACGATAGGCTTGTCAGCCATTTTGTTGTGAAAGACCACTCGGAAACGCTCGGTAGTAATCGCCTTCTATCTTTCACTGACCAGGGACAGATACGTGCTTTTTCTGCGAGAGTAATATGCACTAACATACAATTATATCAGGTACACAGAGCATCGTTTAATCAAATTTTAAGGATGATAATGATTTTATGAGAGGAGAGACGTGACTGACATTCACGAAAAGTATATTGTTGTAATATTTGCCAAATGTAATGTTTCTTCTTCTTAACCATCTTCTTCGCAACTCCACCCTCTCTCTCTCTCTCTGTCTCTCTCTCTCTCTTTCTCTCTCTCCCTCTCTCACACTCTCTCTTCCTCTCTGTCTCTCTTTTACTCTGAGTGAGTGAGTGCGAGGGGCGTGTGCGGTGCGTTCGCGCATGTGTAGTGAAGTTTGTCCTTTTGAATGTGTTTATCATATTATTGTGTTTGTTTCCACAGGTCAAACATCAGTCAAAGTCGCCTCTTCAGGAACCATCACGGCTATATTTTAGACAAATAAACACTTACTATAGTTTAGGTATCAGTTAAGAGCCTGCTATTTTCTAAAAACGTTATATCGCGGTTATTTAATAAGTAATATAGTCCATAACTACATACAATTTTAATTACAATTTGAAAAAAAGGTGAGTGTCGAGTTGACATGGTAGAATCCCCGCGGTTTGGCCGAAGCCGCCCCAACGAGGATAGATCATATGCTTCTGTCTCACACGATAGATACTTCGTCTCTTAGACCTGTATCTAACCACCATGCTACGGCTCACCCGATACACTTACACAAAGCTAAGCTATATAACGATAGGCTTGTCAGCCATTTTGTTGTGAAAGACCACTCGGAAACGCTCGGTAGTAATCGCCTTCTATCTTTCACTGACCAGGGACAGATACATGCTTTCTCGGCGAGAGTAATATGCACTAACATACAATTATACCAGGTACACAGAGCATCGTTAAATCAAATTTTAAGGATGATAATGATTGTATGAGAGGAGAGACGTGACTGACATTCACGACAAGTATATTGTTGTTGTAATATTTGCCAAATGAAATGTTTCTTCTCCTTAACCTTCTTCTTCGCAATTCCACCCCCTCTCTCTCTCTATCTCTCTATCTATCTATCTCTGTGCCTCTCCCTCTTTCTCTGTCTCTCTCCCTCTCTCTCTCACACTCTCTCTCCCTCTCTCTCACATTCTCTCTTCCTCTCTGTCTCTCTTTTACTCTGAGTGAGTGAGTGCGAGGGGCGTGCGCGGTGCGTTCGCGCATGTGTAGTGAAGTTTGCCCTTTTGAATGTGTTTATCATATTATTGTGTTTGTTTCCACAGGTCAAACATCAATGAAAGTCGCTTCTTCAGGAACCATCACGGCTATATTTTAGACAAATAAACACTGAGATTACTTACTATAATTTAGGTATCAGTTAAGAGCCTGCTATTTTCTAAGAACGTTATATCGCGGTTATTTAATAAGTAATATAGTCCATAACTACATACAATTTTAATTACAAATTGAAAAAAAGGTGAGTGTCGAGTTGACATGGTAGAATCCCCGCGGTTTGGCCGAAGCCGCCCCAACGAGGATAGATCATATGCTTCTGTCTCACACGATAGATACTTCGTCTCTTAGACCTGTATCTAACCACCATGCTACGGCTCACTCGATACACTTACACAAAGCAAAGCTATATAACGATAGGCTTGTCAGCCATTTTGTTGTGAAAGACCACTCGGAAACGCTCGGTAGTAATCGCCTTCTATCTTTCACTGACCAGGGACAGATACATGCTTTCTCGGCGAGAGTAATATGCACTAACATACAATTATACCAGTACACAGAGCATCGTTAAATCAAATTTTAAGGATGATAATGATTGTATGAGAGGAGAGACGTGACTTACATTCACGACAAGTATATTGTTGTTGTATTATTTGCCAAATGAAATGTTTCTTCTCCTTAACCTTCTTCTTCGCAATTCCACCCCCCCCCTCTCTCTCTCTATCTCTCTATCTATCTATCTCTGTGCCTCTCTCTCTTTCTCTGTCTCTCTCCCTCTCTCTCTCACACTCTCTCTCCCTCTCTCTCACATTCTCTTTTCCTCTCTGTCTCTCTTTTACTCTGAGTGAGTGAGTGCGAGGGGCGTGCGCGGTGCGTTCGCGCATGTGTAGTGAAGCTTGCCCTTTTGAATGTGTTTATCATATTGTTGTGTTTGTTTCCACAGGTCAAACATCAATGAAAGTCGCTTCTTCCGGAACCATCACGGCTATATTTTAGACAAATAAACACTGAGATTACTTACTATAATTTAGGTATCAGTTAAGAGCCTGCTATTTTCTAAGAACGTTATATCGCGGTTATTTAATAAGTTATATAGTCCATAACTACATACAATTTTAATTACAAATTGAAAAAAAGGTGAGTGTCAAGTTGACATGGTAGAATCCCCGCGGTTTGGCCGAAGCCGCCCCAACGAGGATAGATCATATGCTTCTGTCTCACACGATAGATACTTCGTCTCTTCGACCTGTATCTAACCACCATGCTACGGCTCACCCGATACACTTACACAAAGCTAAGCTATATAACGATAGGCTTGTCAGCCATTTTGTTGTGAAAGACCACTCGGAAACGCTCGGTAGTAATCGCCTTCTATCTTTCACTGACCAGGGACAGATAAATGCTTTCTCGGCGAGAGTAATATGCAGTAACATACAATTATATCAGGTACACAGAGCATCGTTTAATCAAATTTTAAGGATGAAAATGATTGTATGAGAGGAGAGACGTGACTGACATTCACGACAAGTATATTGTTGTTGTAATATTTGCCAAATGAAATGTTTCTTCTCCTTAACCGTCTTCTTCGCAATTCCACCACCCCCTCCCTCTCTCTCTCTTTCTCTCTGTGCCTCTCTCTCTTTCTCTGTCTCTCTCCCTCTCTCTCACACTCTCTCTTCCTCTCTGTCTCTCTTTTACTCTGAGTGAGTGAGTGCGAGGTACGTGCGCCGTGCGTTCGCGCATGTGTAGTGAAGTTTGCCCTTTTGAATGTGTTTATCATATTATTGTGTTTGTTTCCACAGGTCAAACATCAATGAAAGTCGCTTCTTCAGGATCCATCACGGCTATATTTTAGACAAATAAACACTGAGATTACTTACTATAATTTAGGTATCAGTTAAGAGCCTGCTATTTTCTAAGAACGTTATATCGCGGTTATTTAATAAGTAATATAGTCCATAACTACATACAATTTTAATTACAAATTGAAAAAAAGGTGAGTGTCGAGTTGACATGGTAGAATCCCCGCGGTTTGGCCGAAGCCGTCCCAACGAGGATAGATCATATGCTTCTGTCTCACACGATAGATACTTCGTCTCTTAGACCTGTATCTAACCACCATGCTACGGCTCACCCGATACACTTACACAAAGCTAAGCTATATAACGATAGGCTTGTCAGCCATTTTGTTGTGAAAGACCACTCGGAAACGCTCGGTAGTAATCGCCTTCTATCTTTCACTGACCAGGGACAGATACGTGCTTTCTCGGCGAGAGTAATATGCAGTAACATACAATTATATCAGGTACACAGAGCATCGTTTAATCAAATTTTAAGGATGATAATGATTGTATGAGAGGAGAGACGTGACTGACATTCACGACAAGTATATTGTTGTTGTAATATTTGCCAAATGAAATGTTTCTTCTCCTTAACCTTCTTCTTCGCAATTCCACCACCCCCTCCCTCTCTCTATCTTTCTCTCTGTGCCTCTCTCTCTTTCTCTGTCTCTCTCCCTCTCACTCACACTCTCTCTTCCTCTCTGTCTCTCTTTTACTCTGAGTGAGTGAGTGCGAGGTATGTGCGCGGTGCGTTCGCGCATGTGTAGTGAAGTTTGCCCTTTTGAATGTGTTTATCATATTATTGTGTTTGTTTCAATGAAAGTCGCTTCTTCAGGAACCATCACGGCTATATTTTAGACAAATAAACACTGAGATTACTTACTATAATTTAGGTATCAGTTAAGAGCCTGCTATTTTC